GGACCTTTTAGCTGGGAAGTGAGAGTGCTAACTACCGTGCCACCATGCAGCGCCAATGTCTCATTCTTTCACTCTGAATCCAAAGTAAGTGCATTCTTACAGTTTATTATGAAGGCTTTGACTAATTACTGCTCTTGTGGTAAATTATTCATCTCTGTGCAATGATGTGAAGTTTGTGTGTATTATGTATTAAGTTTCAAGGCAAACAGTGTCTTTCTTCAACTTAAACAATTATGGAATTAGAAAAGGCTGCTTTCCACAACAATTTTCATACTCAACTTGAATCAGTGATAAGAAATTCTCCTCTGAATGTAAATATACTCACAGGGCTCTTTTATTAACCTTCTGTTCCATTAGGAAAACCCCACTCCAATTATCTTTCCCAGAGAAGTCCAGAAGGGCCTGTTTTCTTGTGTAATGAAACCTATGATGAAAAATGATGTAAGCTCTCTAAATGTAGATAACTAACCTAATATTCCCTTCACAACATCGCTTATATATGTCCTAAGGAGAAGGAGCAAAACAGGACAAATGAACGGAAACATGTGAGGAATAATTAAGTGAGAAAAGGAAAAATGTCTTAGCCATCCGTAAACTCAGGGCAATTATTGTTTCCCATGTGTACGTCTGGGTCTGGTCCCTGTGGCTGTAGTTATCTCGGTTGTATCCCACCCAATCCCGACCAATCAGCGAGCGGAGGAGGCGGGTGTTGTAGGTACTGTTGGTGCCAGCGACGTCAAGAATTTGCGCCGTTACTGCCAAAGGAGATGGCTAAAGCTAGGCTAAATTCTGAATGCTAGCGACTCACTCGGGCGCAATGCATACATCACGGTAGACTCAGATACAGTCGTTTCAATTTGCCAAAGGAGTTAGCACCTCCCACCTGTTAACAAAATACAGACCGTAGTAAGAAATGAAATGTGTATGATGGTATGATAAGACCAGGTAAAAGTTAAACCATCCATCCATCCATCCATCCATCCATTTTCTTCCCCTTAATCCATTTCTGGGTCGGGGGGGTGGCAGTCAGAGCTGCACCCAGAACACAGAGCACCAGCCCCTCACTGATCCTCCTGCAGGTGGTGAGTCCACAGGAGCTGAGATCTTTCAGTGGGGGCTTCAGGCAAAGTGGGGTTAAGTGTCTTGCCCAAGGACACAACGACAGCAGTCATCAGTGGGAGTCGTGAAGTAGGTCTTGAGGTGGGCTCGAACCCACGACCTTCAGGCTCAAAGGCCAATGCTCTACCAACTGAGCTACTGTCGCCCCAGTTAAAGTTAAACCAATTCCACTAAAAATTTCAAGTTGGTCAAGGTCTTATCCTGTCTAGTTCGAACCAGTTTGGGGTTGTTCCACTCTACATTTCCATATTATAATAGATGATTAATTTAAGGGTATTCGAAAAGCACCGTGCAGGGTAATATTTGATTCATACTTCTCGTTTCAAATAATTTCCATTGTACGTTGAATAAATTACCATATCATATCATAGTTGATTGCCCGTGTCCTTCCTGCCCCATTCTAACCGTTTGTATGCAAAATGGCCACTCATTTTGATTGATAGGGTGCTAAATGTAAAATTGCACTTTGGATGCATTTTTATTTAGAAAACTGTTAAACTTTTAATGAACAAACTCATTAAAAAGGGGGGTTATTTTCAGACGCATCCCCCTAACGACATCCATATAGCAGATTGAAACCTCTTTTAATTACCATGCAGCTCCAAAGAGACGGGCAGCTTTTTAAGACACTTTGTGAGTCCACATCATTAAAATGTAATGAGACACTGGCCGGTATAACGACTGTAATGTTCTAGGACATGCAGCCATTATAAGTGGAATATATACGGCCGGAGCTGCACCACTCACATGTAATTAAATGAACACAATGAGACAATGGACAAATGGTTAAATGATACACACATATGTAAGTAAGTTATGTTTAAGTATCACTTGCTATATACTTACAGTTTATGGTTATATTGTTCTATGCTTCTGCTTCGAATTTGTAGCTAGAAGATGTCAAGCTCTACAATTAATATCCAGTCTTTAGTGCACTTGAAAATTGTGTAGGATGTAATGTTTTAGTTTAGCTGTTCCTCAGTGTCAATGCATTTATAGCTCAAGTTCCTATTACTTATGCATTAATTTTTGGCAGGGAAATTGCTGTCATAGTTACAGCAAAAGATGCAAACAATGTGATGCATACAGAGTGATGTTCATTCTCCTGGTTGAGCTTTTCCCTAAGCGGAATATGCAACATTTATAAAAGAAAAAGAAAACATCTTGAATACATGTTTACAACAGTTATCTGACATCTTACACTTCCACACATTCATAGCGTTTAATCTACACACCTGAGAAAGTTCGGACATACTCTTCTCTGATTTCAGGGGCATGGCACATTCACCAGACCATGACCCAGTTACAGACTGAAGGTATTCTAAACCACTGAAACTTGTATTATATTTGACTAAATGCAAACGTCAACAACAAAGAAAAGATTTGCAGGTTTTATCAACATTTATCGCTTATCTGCGCCTTATGGACCAATGGATCTATGTGTTATCTTCTTAAGTTTTTTTCTTGTCTTTTTTTTGTTTTTTGTTGTTTTTCCCGGGGGGTTTTTTTTCCTGTATTTTTTCCTGATAACTTTTGTTGTGATTTAAGGCAATATAACAATAATTTGAATTGAGAGTCAGCAAAGTGTTGCACCAGAGCATGAGTGTGCCGTTGGAAATCATTTCCGACAATGTAATAATTTGTGTGCATGTCAACAGACCATTATTAGATTCAGTTCAGATTCAGTTTATTTAGCGCTACAAAACGCCATGAATGACGCTGTGTTGTTTTTTTTTCCGTTTTTTTATTGGATAACGAGTATTACTAAAATAAACGCGTATGAAATCACCAAAACTATGGGGAGAATTTCACTACAAAGAGACGTCGCAATTGGGCAACATACTTGCAATTACCCAGACCAAAAATCCCCAAAATTGAACATGGCAAATGGAGCATAAATAGCTTCAGAAAAGTGTTTTACAAGGATGGCTTTGGTCTGCCAGCTAGGGCACAAACAACAGTGTCTGTCAACTGGAACAGCTCCTAACTTGGAAAGACAACAGGGGTCGAGATTTGGCCGCTGAGGGTACAAGCTGTCTCTGTCCTCCCCCGTCCCGCCACGCTCTTCCCCTCAGTAAATCCCACAGTTTGACATCAAGGCCATTGTGATCCCATTTCATCCTGTTTATCTAGTTCACAACACACATTTATTCGGATGTGACTTCTGCCGGGGAGGGGGACAGCAGGCTCATAGATCTACTCACGATGGTTAAGCAACAGGGTCAGATATAATTGAAAGTCTTGCATAGTGAAGAGGGTACGATCACAGGACTCGAGTGGAGAACATATGATTTGTTATAAAACAGTTTATCATTTTATGGTTCTATACTTATGATTCAAATTAATTCAGGCAACATATTTCTAAGAAGCAAAAGCATAACTACAATATGTTAACCACTAAAAATTCTAACCAAATTAGTTCCGTCTTTTGCGCGCTTACAAATTTGCAGGATTTTATGTCATAGTTTGGCTGTTCCTCAGTGTCAAATGGCAATGCTCTAAAAGCACTTTTTGTTATGCATTTATTTGACAGGGAAATTGCTGTCATAGTTTCAGCAAAATATACATTTGCACTTTATTGTCCCCTATAAGGAAATTTGTCCTTTGCATTTGACCCATCCTGATGCCACTAAGGCTTACGTCAAGAGCAGTGGTCGCCGTAGTACAGCGCCCGGGAACCCATGTCCAGATTTTGATGCCCGGCTTGGTCAGACCACCGGAGCTGAAGGATTTTACCTACAGTATTGAGCATATTTTTTGTGGTAGGTAAAACCGTAAGAAACCTACACAGACACGGGGAGAACATGCAAACTCCACTCAGAAAGGCCCTATTCCGACCGGGATTCGAACCCAGGACCTTCTTGCTTAGGTGAGAATTTTGCAACCTTAATAGGAGGATTTGAAAATCCTCCTATGTACCTTAAGATAATGACCATGCCTCATGCAGTCCCGCCCTTTCCTCCTCTCTCCCCTGAAAAATATATTCTGAACCTCAGTTGTACTTTCCTGGTTTAATAAAAGTAATATATTTGGTGGAAAATTTACAGAAATGGGGGAGAATTTATCAGAATGTGATCGTGTAGAAAAGGAGCAGTCAAAGTTTCAGAATTCAGAGTTAAAGCTGCACTAACTGACTTTGGGATTTTGAAGCCGCGGACTCGCTGGCCTCTCTCTTTCTGCTCCCCTCCCCGCACCCACGAAGCTATCGCACCCCACACACACACAGTGTTGAGACGGAGCTAGCGTCTCCCAATATGGATAATACATGGATATGGATTTTCACGTGGATGGCGTGACCATAGAACGATAGAACCGGGAAGCGCGGAGGAACGGGACTTTCTTTTGGATGGCTGTCTCGCTGTGTAAGCAGTAACCGGTGACGAAGACGAGGAAGCTTCAGGTTAGCTCAGCCGCTTGTTGTGCTAACTCAGCTGTCTGTGCCAACGGACCTGTAGATTTCTCACGTAAGTGGGGGCTAGTGATTGGTCACAATCTGCGACCCAAAACACATCTCTTCCTTGTTTCATCAAAACTCGATCTAAAATATGTCACGCCAGCACAAATCTGCGCTACTTTTTTTTCAAAAGGACGTATATCCCAATGCACTACATGGACATGGATAGCATTTTCGTAATGACTACAAAAATAAAGTCAGTTAGTGCAGCTTTAATACAAAAAGTCAGGTGTGTAATGGGCGACGCAAGATTGTATCAATACAAGGATGTTAATTGTGTCTGATTTTGACTTGTTCCTGCTTCGGTTCTCGTCGAAGGATTGTATTTCTGACCCAATATTCTTTCCAGTAGGTTAGGTAAGCTATAGTAAGCATTGTATTTGATTGACTTTCAGCTGTACAGTTTATCCTTTCAACGGAAACGGACCGTTGTTTCTTTGTTCCAGGTTGTAGCTGACCTTGTCGAAGTTCCACGCTGGCTTCTTTGACATCTCTGTGACAATGGTGTGAAAACAGAGCAGCAGGATTTTTTTTCAGTGTAAGGTCACCCAATAATCCTCCACCATGCTGTTGCTCTGAACTCAAAATGCAGCATTTTGCATGAACTTTGTCAGTCTACATGTTTATAAAGGGACATTGGCAAAGTTCCTTCAAGTGCATGATTTTAGACCATTTTAGTAAACTTCCCATTTTTAGATATTTTACTTTCTTGAATCTGTATTGAAGGGACAGTGTACAGAGACATTACACTCATAGAGACAGAGACAGATTATGGCTAGATCGCTAGTTTCCATCTGCAGTCCCTGGTAATGAGGGACAACTAAAATCTGAACCAGTCTTCCTGAAAATGTGAGACAGTTTTCTTCTCCAACAATGTTTAAATCCATATTAAAGTGATTGTCTGCAGTTTGTCAGAAAGAGAGAAAGAGAGGTACTTGATTTGAAAAAAACAACACAAGCTCCCTCCCCCTTCCTTTCTGATTGGTCTACACCTACGTTTCCGTAACACATTTAAATGTTAATGAGAGAACACATTATACATATACATTATTAATAAACATGCACGGAGTTTTTCAGAATTATTCGTTAACGTTTTCATTAATGCAAAAAAAAAAGATTGCAGCAAACCTAGAAGTAGCTATTATCCTTAATTGCATATTATAGGACTCATCTGCAGAGGATCTGATTATGGATATAGGTTCAGTATATAAATCAGAGCGGGTGTTCAGAATTCTTTGTTCAGTTTTCATGTAGTTCCAGAGCCTAATTGAGCCTTGATTCGGAGGCTCCGCAAAAACAAACAACTGAGCATGCGCGCAGCTACAGTACGAGCATCAGCACCGATGATTGACAGCCCTTGGCATGACTCGATTGGTTAACGTGGACGGCATCGTGGATTCTGAACTATAGCTAAGAGAAGGGAAGGCGGGACTTACCTGCAATATTAGAATTCATAAAATGACTTATTTTATATCAACATTTAAGGCCAGGAGGTCAATTTAATACAATTCTTAAAATTTGTAATTCATTTAGAGTTACAGACTATCACTTTAAAGAAGGTTCTGTTTGCCGGTGCATACAACTGAAGTATTGTATATCTACTGTTTTTAATGCATTGTTGTTGTATTTTTAATTTGAATTCGTCTTATGTGATTTTAATTTTGTTTTAATGGTGATTTTGGTGTTTATATTTTATGTGATGATTTGTGCCTTGTGTGAGGGGAACTGTGAAGCACATCCTGTGTAGAAAAAGCGCTTTACCAATTCAGATTAGTTGATTGATTGACAGAGAAATGAATTACAATAAGCAAGAAGAAAGTGCGTCCATCTGTTCCACCACAGAACACTTTATCATTGTGCATTTCTCAATTGTGAGATCAATAATGTTAATCGTATTCTACCTTATTCACAACATTTCATTCTTTCTGCACCAGTTAAATTTGCAAAGGATTAACAATAGTATTAAAACAGATAAAAAACGCATTCTTCGCTCAGTGCTGACAGGTTTGGCCTCTCAACAGCCACTTTTTCAGTTCACAGCTAAAATTATTTTGTTTTTTTGAAGATCATTTTGGTTTTTTCTATATGCACCAAACCAGGACTTAATAATAATGTCTCATCTGCAGGCTTCATTCTCCCCAGTGCTACCAAGTTGCTGAATCTCTGCCTTAAACAAGAGCGTGGTGTGGTGTGTGCGATCGAGATTTCAGACAGAATACACACAGATTCCTTTTTATTTAATTTTTTGTACATAATCTCCTGTCAAGTCATGAGGTAAGTAATGTGACGTGCCTGATTTGGCTGAGGAATCCTGCCTACTTGTCACCCTGCTGTTTTTTCCATCCCGTACTTAAGAGCAATCACTTGAAGGCATAATGTTCTAAATCCTACTGCCAACTCGGCTCAAATGTGAGGCAGTGAGCTGTTACCTTTGATGTTATTACATACTAAGAGAAACTTAGTCAAACTCGATAAATTCTCACATCAGCTTCCATGTGATTGTCAGAGCTTCCTTTGGTGTTGTATCTATGCTGAGCAGACTGAGCTACCCACTCACCAGACTAAGTACAATTAAAGCAATAATCATAAATGAGGTAAACAATGGGCACAGTTGGAGAATATTTATACATTATATGATTCACGCAGAACCAGGAACTCCCAGCCTGAGGACTCAATGGCAGGACCTCCCTCTAATATCTTAAAACGTCTACTTAGTTGCCCCAAAAGTGTTTAAGATATAGATTGAACACACTGTAGAATGTGCATGTTTTTACTGTACGTACTGCACTGACTGTATTTTTAACATTTAACCTTGAAAATGTTTGCACACTTCTGCCTTTCTCACAATCTGAGTGATTTTATCCATGCCAAATGTGACATGTACATTTCTCCAGTGTGAGATCAATAAAGTCTATCTTATCTTAATGTTAATATACCTGAATGTGCATCTGAAAGACATTGTTTCAGTTTAGTTTAGATTTGTTTTAGTGCCATACGACAATTCTCCTCTTCTTGAACAAATCCTGTCAAATTCAGTGCCAATAAATAAACATGCTAAAGATTGTGACGAGATGAGTTTGACCAATTTTGTTCTGTTTTGGCAAATTAACTTTTGATTTGTTTTGATTTAAATTCACTTGCAATAATAAAGTTTTATCTTTAGAACTGACAACAGATGCAGGCGCAATGTGTGCGGATGAGAACATAACATTATACTCATCCATGACGTTCAGGAAACAGATTGAGAACATTTTGGAAATGTATTAGAATTATTGTTCCGATTTTATGATAGAAATATTTTGAAGTGTATGATTTCCCCTCTCCCATGAAAACAGTGGCAGTAGCTATTATTTTAAGAAGCTGAATGGACATTCATATCCCTCACTCGCACATTGTTCAAGGCTGCGTTGTACTGCTAGTCTTACCTATAAACCCTGGCTTATCTCCTCTCCATGGGCTCCCTGCCTCTGCAGTTTCTCCCATCGTCTCAGGGCGCCGCTGATAATCAGCCATTTCTATTTGGCCTCCAGACCGCGCTCGTATCCCTAAGTCTGTAGATAGGAGATCTAAGCCAAACTTCAAGGTCTAAGCGAGCAAAGACAGTGCATCAATGGCCAGATGTAAAAAAGAGACTGTGTGTGCAGAGGGTTTGACACCAGTCCACATGTTTGGTTGCAAGTAAAAAACAGTGACAGCAGAGATATTGAACATTAGCGTATCATAATTATTGGCTAAATATAGCTTGAATATTTTAATCTACTCCACACCTGTGTGTCAATGACCTTAAACAACTATGACCACGGGAGACGTTTTCAGCTTCATGATGACAGGCAACAAGCAAATAAGTCAGGTAGGCAAACAGTCTGAACCCGCAGTCTACTTACTTTATATTTCAGTGTTAGCTTTAAATTATGACTTCATAAACCATTGCGACATGTTTCATTTCTAAAAGGAAAAATCAAGTAAGTCTGAACCATCCAATATCCTGCTGTAATTGTTATGTTTAGTTTTTTGTATGTTCATTCTTGCTAATCCGCCCTCTTCTGGCCGTTTATGGTAATACCCTTTTTGTGATAGTAGAAGAAGAAAGTTAACAGGAAGTAGCTCAGTCCTCACTACAGCAAACTGTCAGCCCGTTTTTTGCTCCTGGTCTTTTTTACTTTGGTGTTTGTTAAAGCATTGTCTGTGAGTATCATACAGTGACACTTAAGCACCTTTCTTTTGTAATGCTTATGAGTTTTATAGTAACGTTTTGGGTTGTATCTACTGTTGTATTGATATGCTAATTAGATCGCGATTCATATGCTAATTACGGGAGCTAACCGCTAACCGTTGCTATTCACAATTCTATGTACAACCTGTCTTGGCTTTAGATTTCTTGTCTTTAATTTTAGGCCCTGTTTATACTGAGACGCTGCACAGACGTTTCCAGGCTATTTACAGAAACGACCTGGCTCCTAATGCAAATTTCTCAGCGTTCACATGAGGTTGAAAAACGATGTAGTTCTAGCGCCCGGCCAGTAGTGGGCAGAGAACTTTAAAACACTCACACGACCCCCAGCCCCGTGCCCAGCCCCCCTCTCGGCAGTGTACTCACTTCCTGTGCCAGACCCTCAGAACGCACCAACATCATTCTGCTTTTTAACAGCATCTGGGAAAATGGGAACTGAACCTAGAGCTTCGCGTGGTCTCGTTTGGACGAACGAAGGTGTAGAATTATCCTCTGTCCCGCGCTGGAAGCCCACGTAGCTAGTTTGTGTGGGCGGCGCCATTATTGTTTTTGTTTGTTCTCCGCTACTGCGCATGTCCAAATGTACGTGCGGGGAGCAGCACGGAGGTGGGGGTCAGAGCAGAGGGGGATTTCACACCTTTTCCCCTCTCGCGGGTGTGAAAAAGCTCCCTGCTGTGCAGCGTTTCTGAGTTGTCCCACTCTGCAGGCTGGATCTGAACACTTACGTTTTCACCCCCCTGGAACACTGTCTTCGTATGAACGGTTGGTAGCAACCGACATCCAACTATACCGTTTTACTGCCACATTGTCTCCGTGTAAACTCAGCCTTAGTCATCACATATAATAATTGTATATGTATCTGTTTCATTGTTACAGTTTCACAATATTGGATCATTAAAGTTCTCCTGAAGAGTTTTCTGCATCTATGTTTAGCTGCTTGGATAGCTAGTTTGGTAACTAGCGAGGCCATTTACAGTGAAAAGACAGCATCTCAACGAACATCAACTCTACAAAGACCACCACGTAGAACAGCTGCCATTGTGAAGAGCCAGAAGACCTTCCTTCTTCACAATAAGATCACAAACTCAAAAATGTCTGAACATGCCTTTGGAAAGAGTGACCATCAGTCAGTTCAGTCTCGCAAATCATCTAAAGCAAGGTCAACAGTTAGCATTGAACTACTCAGAGCAAAAGCAAAGGCTGAAGCAGCACAAGCAAGAGCTACATATACCAAAAAGGAAATTGAAATTAAAGTAGAGC